TGGGAGTCGTTTTGGCAGGCTGATTCCATTCGTCACCAATTTCATCAAAACCTGTGAGGGGTAACAATTTTTAAAATTAACAGAGACAACTTTGTTTCCTAGTAGTTATATCTACTTTAAATAACATAGAAACATCTAATCCTCTTAGCTTTTATGCCTTCACAAACAAGGATTTGTTTGCTAAAAACTTTTAATTAGTCCAATCACATGCAGTAAGTATTTAACAACTCTCAAGAACAACAGAGATATCACTCGCATCCAGCTTCTGGAGCTAATTCTAGGACCTTTTCATTATAAATTGTAGAATTCAGATTGCAATGTGAGTGACAGCTGACCCAGTTTTCCTAGAGAAATGGGTAACATTCCTAAGTGGCGGTTCTCTGCCGCCAAAGATAATTGCATCACCTTTTGCCAGCTTCCATTTTCTGTTCTCTAGCCAGAGTACTATCTCAATTTGGGTACAGAAAAATAAACTAAAGAAAGTAAGAATCTTACCCCAGATTTAGTGGGTGAGATGACTGTGGTCATTGAAGCATCTAAGCATATTACTAAGCAAGATTACTAAACCCAGAATCAGAACTGTGAAACCAGTATATGTGTCTTCACACATGGATGCATGCTGGGGCAGGGAAAGTAATGGTAATGACCATGTAGCCATTGATAGGGAGTGAACCCAGTTAAGTTAAGAAATGGTCATAAAGAGAAAAGTCAACTATAGTAAAAAAAAAAACCAAAAAGCCAATGCATGCTGCATAAAGGGTTAAATTTGTATATTAATTAGCATCCCATTTAAATCCTAGATTCGCCAGAGACAGATTTTTTTTTGAGTTATACATTTAAAAAGACTTCTACCTGTTCTGTAAATCAAAAATGTGAAAAGAATCTATAACGTAAATACAAGCAAATTGGACAATCCACAAGGCTAAATTTGCAAAAATCGTATTTACCTTTCCAACATCTGCATGACAGGTGCCTAGCCATATAATTGCAGTTTTTGGTACTGTAATTGTTGTCTCACTTCCCAGGCAACAATACATCTCACTAAGGACATACCCTTTGGCTGGAGAGTGTAATGGGTAATGTCTACTTCATGGCCTGGTGGTTAGAGTACTTAAGCAGCAGGTACAAATTCATACCCCTCTTAGGTGAAGGGTAGATAAAGCTGTCCCATAGTGAATACTGGAGTCTGGTACAGGACAGAGATCATTCTCAATTCAACAATAGTGGTGGATGCCAAAGTGTGACTTCTCACATGCATTTCAGCCTTTGTTCTAGAGATCCATTTTGCAAAAATGCATAGGATCTGATTTTCACAGGAGAAATCTAAGCAGTAAGGGTGCTGTAACACAGTGGGGTTTGGATAGGCAGTCAGAAGATCTGCATGTCTGGTAACTGGAAGCCAGCCAAAGCAAGCTAGCACTAGAGAAGATCTGGGGCCAGCACACCTTAGCTAAACTCTCTGACAAACAACATTTGTGCCATGTAAATTTCTGTGTGAAATGCCCGTCACCATCCCTGAATATGCCTTTTTGTTACTGGGCTAGCCACCAATACATGTAGATGTAACAGGACATAGAATTAGCATGGGTCACTATAAAGAAGTCCATGCTTTCCTGGGGTGGTGGTTGTAGTCGTATTGGTCTAAGGACATAGGCAAACAAGGTTCTCTGGGTAAATGTGATATCTTTTATTAGACCAACTAAATAGCTGGAAAAATTGTTCTTTGTAAACTTCTGGGCACAAACACACTTCAGGCATAGGGAGAGTCTGTTAATGTTTTCTGTTCTCCTGGATGGAATAGAAAAAGCCAATATGCAAAACGCAGATACAGTTAGGATCAGAGGCCATGGGAGACGATAGGTGTTTGACAGATAGGTGGGCTGGGGAGAGAGGGAAAATGTTGACCTGGTGCTAAGAAAAATACAGTGTCTACTTCATAAGGTGCTGGAGTGCCGGCATGCCAGAAAAATGAAACTAGGGGGTGGTACATGGCAGGGAACACTGCATATTAATATAGTTAATCATAAGTGTTGCTTGCTTTTTTTTTTTATTTACAGTGAATACCAGGCTTTCTAAAAATTCTAAACCTGGTGACAATAAACAAAACTTCATATACTGCCTTAGTTGTTGCGTAAAAAAGAGAAAAGAGAAGAAATAGAAAAAAGGAGAGAGAAAAAAGAGAAGAAAAAGGAAAAGAGAATATTAAAGGAGAGAAAAGAAAAAAAAGAGTAAAGAGAAGAAAGAGAAGAAAATAAGGGGACCTTGAGAAAAAAAAGAGGAGAAGAGAGAAAGAAAAAGAAGAGAGGAAAAAAAGGAAAAAGATGGGGACCTACCAAATTCATGGCGGAAGTGGGCTACACAGCAGCACTTTTAATTATGCAGATTTCCCTGCATGCCACCTTTCCGCTGATTTGGTGGAGGAGCTGTACTTGTAGCTCACTCCTGATCAACAGAGATGAAAACTGCAGTTTTAAACATGGCACCGTTTTTATCTCCCTGCTGCTGGTTGGCCAAGGGGCTCCAGCAGCTCTGCTGCTTGCTCCTGACCAGCAGAGAGACCAAAACATTGGCATGTTTTCGCTTCCCTGATGATTCATCAGGGAAACACCTGCAGTTGCTGGGGGAGGAGGGGTTATTACATGATTTAATCCTGGTTTGGAGGGGGGGGCTCATGCCCTGCTCAGCTGTGCCTGGCAGCTAGCTCCAGGGGTGGGCAGGGGCAGCAAGGGAGACATCCTGTATCCCCACCTCACCACCCTGCAGCTCCCAGGGAGCACAACCACCCCATCCAGTGTAGGATCCCACCCCTGGAGGGCTCCAGGTCTCATGCCCACCTGCATGCAGGCTCCCCCGCTGCAATGGGTGCCAGTTCCCCATGGAAGGCAGCTCTCCCTAGACAAAGAGAAAGTG